GAGCAATTTTAATGCAAAAAGTCGTAAGTTTAATAAATCCTGCATTTGCTGGCACTCCAGGTACAGAACAGAACTCTGAAAGTGTTTCTCTCCTTGGGGGTTACACTCCCCCTAGAAGCTAAACTAGAAATGGGGTGGGTGTTTTTGTTTTGGTATAATAAATTGAAAAATGTATTATTTTATTGATAAATCACTGTCCTATTATTTATCCTTTATTTTGGAGTTAAGGCAGTGTATTGAATTTCTAAAATTGTGTTTAGGTTGATAATATCTATGATTTTCATTTCATGCTAGCAAAGGAGGCTTTACAGAAATTTGTTTTATAACAAAGGGAGTATTGGGTCTGATAATATTGAGCACCACTGCCCTAGGTGTTTGGCTTTTTTTTTTTTCCTTTCCAAAACAGACTTCCAAGTAAGGAGAGCTACCTTAGAAAGACCTGGAATTTTGAACTGAGGCTGGTTTATTCATAACTTCTTATTCACTGGCAGCTTTATAGAGATTAAAATTACTCTTTGAATTTATCAATAATTTGAAATATAAAAAAATCCAAATAAATAAGTTTGTATGAAAAGAAAAAAAAGGAAGTCAATTTTTAAGACTCAGTATGTTTCCACAGCCATCAGGGGAGCCTCCAGAGAAAAACCATGTTTGAACTTAAATGCAAAGTAGTAAATCACATTAAGGAAGATCAAAATAGAAAGCCTGCTTACCTTTTGTCACTGTTTTGGATACAAAATTCAGAAAAACCACTCAGCAAGGGCCATTGATCTCAAGTTTGGTGAACCTGGGAAATCGAGCTCCTCTTGGTGTCTGGATTTCATTTGCAAAGGCCCTGTGAGGTGAAGGTCAAAATTATTTTCTAATTCTGCTTTTAGAGTTTTAAAATAAAGATAAAAAAATGGCCAGCATTTGTTTTAATGTTTCCAGTTATGTCTGCTTCAGTTGTTTTGTGTAATCTTCTTTTGCATATTCAACTTAAAGGGGAAAACAGTTTCTTAGTCTGGAAAAAGGGCGGAGTAGAGGAGGTTTGGTACTCTGTATTCAAGGGTTCCGCTTCCACAGAACCAACCAATCGTGCTCCCATACTGAGGGACAACTCTATCTTAATTTCAAATGTCTGCTTCATGGGAGGATATAAGGGAGGATAGGAATGCTTAAGGGAGGGATGGGAAGTCTATAAGGGAGGATAGGAATGCTTAAATTATTTTTGGTGCAAATTGTTTCAAAAGGGTATAAGTTAACACTGTAGTTTTGCCCAGAACCATCATGTCTGCAGCATCCTAATTAGCCAAAGGCTTGTTGTACTATTTTAAAAATAAGTTTGCATAAATTCCTGGCTTAAGTGAAATGTTGGGCAACCAACCACTAAGTTCCTTGGCCAAGTTTTCATTGCCCAGTTCATTCATTCATGTAACAAATACCTATTAAGTACCTATTGGGTGTCAAACACTGTTACAAGGTGCTGTAAATAAATAAAACAGATAAGAATTCTTGAGGCTTAGAGGCCCCAAAGAGTGGTTGGCTGGGTGAGTTGAGTTCTCTTAATTATGTTTCTTAGTCTAAAACTCTTTTGCTGAGATTAGAACATCATATCCGACCTGGCTTCTTTCAAGAGACCACTTAGAAACACTTTTCTTCTGTAGGTGGGAAAGGACATTATAGTGTTAGGAGACCTAGGCTAGAGTTGTTCCTTCCACTAACTCCTCCAGGGCTGTGTCACACACCCTCTAGGTTCTCCTCTGTAACAGGAGAGGATTAAGCTTAAATCATCATAACTTTTTCTTTTTTTTAGGATCAAAAATGAGAGACCATTAGAATCCTGTAATTAGCATATATAGGGAATTAAGTTTCAATTTTTGCTTTAAAGCCAAAGTAGCCAAAAATCAGTGTTTTTTTAATAAAAAGGATTAAAACTTGATTATTAGGGGTTTGGGACAAAATACTCTGTAACCAAAAGGGTAGCTGATTTTTGTAAACTTCACTATGTCCTCTAATTATTACCAAGCTGCATAGTCCAACATAGTCATTTTATAGATGAAGATATGGATGAACTTTCCTTTCTTGGTAAGGGAGAGACAGCCAAGGGCCTATGCTCATCTGTCTAGTACATTTTCCAAAGTGTCACGCTGCTTCCCATTGTCATTAGAGCCATTATTGTCATGTACTTTGGGAAAAACAAAAACAAAAACGCTTTAGCACTGCCACCACCAGCCACGTACTATCCCTGTGGTAGTAGCAGTAGAAGAAAGTAGTAAACTTTCTTCCTAGTATTTCTAAGGTCAGCACTCATTTGTATAGTTGGTTATGGTGTGGGCATTCAATAATTATGCATTTGTACTAAAAAATAAAAGCTAATTGTTAACATACATGGGGTGGTTCTAAGCCCTTCACATGTATTAACTCATTCATTTTGCCCAATAATAACGAAGTAAAATAGGGATAATAGCAGCCAAAGTCCAGAGAAGTTAAATAACCTGTCCAAGGTCAAATAGTGAGTGGCAGAGTTAAAATCTGAATGTAGTCTGAATGCGACATCTGTGCTTTCCAGCATCATGCTGTTCCAGCTACTGTAAACTTCAGGGATCAATTGAAACCATCCAACAAAGAGAGGCTCACTGATATGTAACTGACACGTTACCTAGACCCTTGGATTTTTCAGATCTGTACTTGATCCAGCTTTTAATGTTAGTAGTGTCCACTGTAATTCTAAAAATGAGAGCTTTAAAGATAAAGACTGCATATATTATATGATTCTGTTTATATGAAATGTCTAGATTGGGCAAATCTATGGAGATAGCAAACTCATGGTTGCTGGGGGATTGAGGGGTGGTGAGTGACTACTGATGGTTATAGGTTTCTCTTTGGGTTAATAAAAATGTTCTAAAATTGTGCTGATAGTTACACAACTTTGGATATACTAAATCTTTAAATTGTGTACTTGAAAAGGATGAACTGTATGGTATGAATTATTAAGACAGTTAAAGGGAAAATGAGGGCTTTTATATTCATTTTAAGTTGAAATTTTTTATGAAGATTGAAGACATCAGGAAGTCTCATCATTCTTTTACAGTTTATGAATAAACAGGAATAGGGAGGTGAAATTGACTCTCTAACTCAGCATTTTAAGCTTCTTATATAGACTTGACAGTAATTTAACATTTGTTTTAAAATATTGACTTATTAGTAAAACTTTTCAAATATTAAAGCAAGTCTCCAACCTATGGTGAGTTATATAATTGTTTGGTTATAATTACAATGTAATAATAGAAATAAAGTGCACAATAAATGTAATGCACTTGATTTGTCCTGCAACTGTCCACTGCCCCCCAGGTCTGTGGAAAAATTGTGTTCCATGAAAATAGTCCCTGGTGCTGAAAGGTTGGAGGCTGCTGTTAAAGTATCTGTTTACTAAAAAGAAGTTTTTATATCTGTTATTGAAGAAAGTCTGCCACTAGTATATAATCTTGTTTAGTCAATAGAAAAATTTCAGGGCAAATACATCCAACCTGCTTTCGACTTGTTTATCTCATACATTCTGCTGTCTCTGAGAATAATAAGTTATTTTGCTTGGACATGAACTTAAGGTTAGAGGGGTTTTTCAAAGCATACAATACTATTTTTCCTGAGTTTAATTCATTTTGGAGTTATTCATTAATCTTTTTTAAAAGTTAATTTTATGTTGTGCTATTTCTTAGTAGTTTCAGGTTTTTTGAGTATCCCTTTCTATAAAGAAGTATTTTTTCCCTATTTGTTAATTTTCAAGCTTCAGTGGTAGTTGACTAGTTCCAGTGTTCTGGGATTTGGTGAACCAATACATAAGTTTTGTCCCATCATGATTTTTCACAATTTTGTATATTTTCTGTGTAATTATTCACTCATCAGATAGTTGTGAGTGGCATTGTGCCAGGATACAGCCATAAATCAAATAGACACAAGCCTTGCCCTTGTAGAGCTGAACTCTTGTCAGGGAATCACTGACGATCCTAATGTTATAAGATGGCCCTCACCTGGCCATCTCTCTGCCTCTTCTTCCTGGTGATGCCATTGTCTACATCTTTGTCACCTCTTTGGGGTGTTTAAGGACAGATAGTCACTGGCACTGCAAAGTTATCAGGTCACTAGGTTTTATTCCAAGTTGTGTTAATATTCACCATGAAGATTTTGTTAGTGTGTGGTTGCTCTTTTAATGCAGCCTGGCAAAAAGATACTATAAATACCTGCAGTCACCTTGTTGAATTGCATGTGGTTTACCTCCCACTGACTTCATATGTATCTGTGTCACAAACTTTGATAAATAAAATAACCAAAGCATTACTTAGTTTCCTGTTGTTGCTGAAATCTTCACAAGTCTAAGTAGATCCTTGTGTTAAAATGGTATTTGTGTATGTTCTGAATATGATGCTTCCATTCATGCCTGAATTGTGGTGAATATGCATTATTTAAATGGAGTATATACTTTCTCTAGAAAATACTGACTAAATCAAATTTTACTAATTTGATTTCAGTCAAATCTATGCCACTTTAAACTGCCTTAATTTGAAGAAAACAGAATTCTTAAAGGGAAAAATAGTATGAGTTAAATTGTTCGCCCTTTTTTCATTCTGCAGGGATGCCTCTAAATTATCTTTAAAATTTTAAAGTGTGGAAATTTGAGGTCTGCAGCAGAATTAATAAACATTAAGTTTTTTTAGATGACAATTTAAGTGCTGTGAATAAAATTTCTGGAATATGTGTGGCATCTTCCGCCAAGTCCCCCTTGTGTATTTAGGTCCTCTTTTCTGTTCTTCCCTAGTTCCCTGCTCCTGAAGCTCTTTCCCATAGTGCCTGCACACTGGTTAGTCCTTTGTATGTCTCATGCCCACCCGGGCCTAGTATGCAAATAGGTCCTGGAAAGTAGTGCCGTTTGCTCTGAGCTGCAATATGTAAATCTCAGGTGTCACATAAGTTTGAAATTGCATACAGATTCAGCTGATATTGAATGTTGTCTCTCTTGGTAGAGTTTCCAGGATGGCTTCTGCATCACCTTCTAAATATAATTCACACTCCTTGGAGAATGAGTCTATTAAGAGGGTAAGTTAAGTTTTCAGATTTATCTTTTTCTCTGCATTGCTCTTTCCATATTTGACTATTAGGTCATATTGGGTTTATTGAATTATGAATTTCGTTATTTATTCACATAGTATAAATACATTAATACTTGTGGTTTTATTATCTCACCTTTTTCCAGAAAAGATTTTAGATAGGATACCTTATATGTGTCAAGTGAGTTTTGCGTTTATAAATCCTTTCAGGTAACTTCACTTTTGAGAACCTCTGTCTTGTGAATTACTGCCAGATGTTACGTTTAAAGTACTAGTCAATCTTCTGTCCCGAAAGCTTTCTGAAGGAGATTATGGCCTGCCAAGGCCCGCTGAGCAGGCTGGTACATCTTCCTAAATATTGGCATTATCTTCTAATTATGATGATAAACTAGTTGCATAACCAAAAGAAATATAACTTTAACAGAAAATGGTTCAAGGCATCCAGGGGAAAATTGTATAATTAGAGGGATATTTTAGAATATATATTAAAAGGAAGGGGTGAATTAAAAATAAGCTGTATTCATGGCCCTTTAAGATTATTCACCAGAGATGTTAATTTATACTCCTGCCAGAGGTGTATAGGGATGCCCAAGAAATCAATCAGAAGGGAGCAAAAGGCTGTCTTTTCATTTGTATTCCTTGATTACTAACAAGGTTAATCTTTTTTTTTAAAGTGTGTCATCCATTTGTATTTCTTTTGTGATATGATTATTCGTGTCCCTTGCCTATTTGTTTTATGGGGTTTTTGAGAGACTTTTCTTATTGATTTATAAGTTTTCTTCATATATGTTACAAGCCTTTTTCCTGGTTTATTGTCAACCTTTTAATTATATTTATGGTATTTTTTGATTTTGAAATACAGAGATTTAAAGTTTTTATGTAATCTCAGCTATCAATCTTTTCCTTTATATTTTTTGCTTGGGTGTCTACAAGGACCTCCCTCATCCCCAAGATTATATACATTTTTACTGTATTTTCTTTTATTTTTTGAGGCAGAGTCTCACTCTGTTGCCCTGGCTAGAGTGCCGTGGTGTCAGCCTAGCTCACAGCATCCTCAAACTTTTGGGCTCAGGCAATCCTCCTGCCTCAGCCTCCCGAGTAGCTGGGACTACAGGCATGTGCCACCATGCTCAGCTAAGTTTTTCTATATATATTTTTAGTTGGCCAATTAATTTCTTTCTATTTTTAGTAGAGATGGGGGTCTCATTCTTGCTCAGGCTGGTTTCAAACTCCTGACCTTGAGCGATCCACTCACCTCAGCCTCCCAGAGTGCTAGGATTACAGGCATGAGCCACCACGCCCAGCCTACTGTATTTTCTTGTAATATTTTTATGGTATAAGAATCAGCTCTAAATGCAAGAATAACTTCATGAATGTAATTTTAAGTCCTTGTGTAATGCTGCTCTGATATAAAGTATATCCCATGTTAATCCCATGTTATCCTGTCTTAATCAAACATTCGCTTCCCTTATCGTGTGGTTGGATTATGTTTTCTTCTCCTGACCTAGAACTGATACTTAAAAAGCATACTGAATATTATATTTGCTTATTATACTGTTTTGTGTTAGAGGCAGTGTTAAAGAATTATGATCATTTCTTTCCAGTCTTACATTTGTGTAAGATGTGTGGTTTTGTTTCTCATTGAGGAAGGCAATCCTCACTGGGAACAATCTGTCTTGCCCTGCTAGTTAAAATGCTTAGCTTGTGAGCACTAGAAATGTTTACAGTTAGCTAGGAATTTTAATTCTGTGTCTGAATAAAAAAGATAAAACCATTAAAAAATCCAGCAAAACACCCCTCTTTGACAGCTTATATTTCACCTAAATATACAACTCACATTTTTCTTATTTTGTAATTCATAATAATCCTCTTCATTTGCATAGCTAATTTACAAAAGTGTGCTTGTGTATTCTGTTCCACTTAATACAAAACCACTCTGAGGAAAGCATTACTAACTTCACACATGAAATGATTGCAGTGTTGTTATTTTTGGCAAACAGCTAGAAAAAATGGAATGGAAAATATTGCTGAAAAAACCTTTTGCCCAAACAGATGTTAGTGATGTGCCTCGTGCATCTTAACACTAACACATGGAGCACGTCATTGGTATTAATCCACTAGGGCAGCTGAATAACTTGAAAGACAATGGGTATCTATGGCAAATTAGACTCTTGAGAATTCACCTGTGAATTTTAGTGGTTAGTACTTGGCCCACCTGGCAGAGCTGCTGAAGTGATTAAATGTGACACAAGCCTGGGAAATACCTCTAAAACTAGGAGGTCTAGAAAATAATAGAGTAACATGAAGAATTTATATAAATGGCTCCTAAGGCCCTTGCCAGCTCAAAAGTTCTCTGACAGAACACTTTCCTTTTATCTAGGATAAAGATCTTAGTAAAGGTGAGGAAGTAAAAAGTGAGGAAAGATCTTAGTAAAATAAGAAGCTCAATATGTAGTAACATTTTCTGGCATTGTAATAGGATTCTGGGTAATTATTATATTGTTGTTCAGGTAAGGTCTCATGAAATTAAAGTTTTCATTCCTGCTCTCTGCACAAGATGGCTGAATATTTAATATGAAAACATAAAGCTACCACAGTACATGTGTATCTATAAAATGCATTTAATATTTACTTTTTATCACCTTCCTGAAAGCTAACTTTAAAGTGCTTAGAAGCATTGTTAAAATTAATATTATTGAAAAGCATGCTAACATTATTTAAATGCAGACTAGAAGTTACCATATGTAATGAATGTTGATGCTAGATTGTATTTTTTAGTTTGAATTTTCTGTGCCCATTTTCTCAAATGCTAAATCTAATTTTTTTTTTAAAGTGTATTTCTAGTTGTTTATATCCTGGTTGCTTAAAAACCTGTACAAATGTAATGTCATTACTTCTGATGCTTCTGTTTTGTTTCTAGACATCTCAAGATGGAGTCACTCGGGATCTCAGTGAGGCTGTCCCTCGACTGCCAGGAGAAACACTAATAACTGGTAAGGACCCTCTGACATTAGGATTTGCATTGAAGAGAAGTCGAGCAGGATCAGGTGGCTTCATTCCTGTTTCCTCTTTAGAAGTTAGAGGTAGACAAATAAGCTAGCTTTGTTTCGAAGCATTAACACAGAACTCTCTGCATTCGTTTCTTGATCAAAGAGTTCTTTCAGGAGCTTCATGCTCACAAGGATGGTGATATTCTTGTCTCTGTACCAAAGACTGAGAATGATTTAGGGGAAAAAAATGTGGATTATCTCTTAAGTGTCTCATTGGAGCTATAAGCTCTTACAGTTGAAGGTTTAAGAACAAAATGATATTAAGGTTTCCAGTCTATTATGTATGCTTTAAAATGATAAACTGAAAAGCTTGAAGAGTTAAGTATTCTCCTTTTTAAAATATAGGAGACCTTATTGGTTTAAAATATCTTTCATTTGCCAGGAAACAGAAGTTAGTAATATTAAGATAACATTTTGATGTGTTATTTTTTTCATGATAAATTTATATTAAGAGGAAGGTATCCGCTTTGGATAGGGCCCATTCTGGCTTAAGACTATAGAAGTATCTGGCAGCTTCTGAGCCAAGTGCTAATGTTGTGGGTATTCAGAGTTTATATTAAGGTCAACACCCTCCTCTCAGATTTCAGTGTATTTGGAGATGATATCATTACTATTCTTTCAAGGTACCTTTCTATTTATTAACTGAGATCTGAGTTATTTGGCTTACATGGCTAAAACATGGTGCTAATTAGATGAAGGTCTTAGACAAGGTACCTTTGTGAATTAGCCAGGCACCACCAGAAACTCAATTCTGTGTCCACAGACTCGCACACATTCTAGTCTTGAAATGGAAACCAGTGGGATGTGTCTATCCCAATTTCTGAATAAGAGCAAAGAAGATCATTTTACTTTTGATGATCTTCATGTGAAGTTTTGGTGTTGGATATCAGTACCCAAACCTTAACCAAGATAGTATGGGAACTAGTATGAAGTAGCCTTACTGGATATTTTTTATTTAGCACTTGAGAAAGAAATTTCAAAATCATTAACAGAATGTAAAAGCCAGTAACACATTCAAGGACATCCTTGAAAGATAAGAGAAAGACATATTTCTATTATGGTTTAGTTTCTCCTTATGTTTATCCTACAAAGATGTACTTTTTGTTTTGTTTTGTTTTTTGGCCATCTGTTTTATATTTCATTGTTTGAAATGAACCTAGTTAAACTCTTCTATGGAGTATTAAAGAATAGCCTATGGGAAGATTTCTACTGCTGACATTTATTTATTAAAAACATCACGATGTTTGTGTGGTTAGAGGTTGGCAAATCCCAAAACCCAATTTAGCAGTTAGTCCATGAGACTGTCCTATGTGAATTGCCTTCCTCTAGTTGAAATAGCCCAAATAATCACCTTTACAACCACCCGAGGGTTGCCACAAGAGTACCCTCATTCACTTTTGCTCTTTACTGTTGTCACCTTGTCCGAGGTATCTGTCACTACAGTGTAGTTTCCCCACTGCCCCAACTCAACCTAGCACTGTAACGTGGAAGCGTTGGCAGTGCTTGCTGTCTACATTTTCAGTAATTTTTTGTTGTAGTTATTTGTAGCCAAATAGTTTATTTGAAAGTAGTGCCATTTGTTGTGTATCTTGGTATATATTTCCATTATTTTAGGGTACTTTTTTTATCTTAATAGACAAAGAAGTTATTTACATATGTCCTTTCAATGGCCCCATTAAGGGAAGAGTTTACATCACAAATTATCGTCTTTATTTAAGAAGTTTGGAAATGGTAAGTAGAATATAAGACCATAAAGATGACCCTAACTGTTAAAGATAATTAATGCTAAACGTTTCTTTTCTACTTTGCAAGATTGACTATGGATTAGATTAACATGGGAGATATATTTGCTTCTCAAGTCTTAATTTTTTGCTTACACAAAACTCATTTAATACTAACATTTGCATAGGTAGGGAATAGAGTAAATAGAAAATATAAGTTTTATCCCCATAATGGGGGATGGGTTAGTAATTGTAACCATTGGCTAGTGTGGAGGGATGGGTTAGTAATTGTAACCATTGGCTAGTGTGGAGAAGTTAGTTAGATGTAGAACAGTGGTTCTTTACCAGAAGCACAAATGAGAACCACTTGTGGAGCTTAACAAACAATACACTATCCATAAATATTAAAAATAAAAAATTTACATATGTCCTAGATATACATCATTAGAATGTCCAGGCCTGTGGTCCAGGTACAGTTATATTTTCTAAAACGTCATAGAGAAGTATACTGATGTAAATTTCTGGTGAAGGCCCACCACTCTAGAACTTTCCAAGTGTTTAATTACAAAGCACTAGGTAGCAAGTGTAGAACTAGGATGGCTATGGTATTGCTTACTGCCACTCTACCTTTTCAGTCCATGGCCATGAAATGTCTGCTGTGCCATTTCAAGGAACAGTCCGTTGATGAAACAATGACATAGAGAAGAGATGCCCCAAAAGGGGAAGAGAGCGCGTGTAACCACTATGGCTGTCACAGGAGTACTTATGTAAATGTGGTGGGTTGTCACTGCCCAGGTCAGTCTGAAGGGGCAGGTATATTTTGATGGGATGGACTAAGAGGGGTCTAGGTCCAGGATACAGAAAAGAGTAGCCTGTCAGCAGCATGTACACAGGAGACCTTGAAACTGCTTGGGAAATGTAGCTTTTGCTTTTATTCCACCCATTTTTTAGGGCAATTCTAATCTAGATTAGTTTGTGTCTTTTTATCTTTTTATTTTATAATTTTCATATTATGTCTGAATTTTGGGAAAAAATGTTGTTATGCCTATTGCCTTAGCTGTGGCAGCCTGCTTTTATAGCTGCCCCAACTTATAGTATCTCCTACAACAAAGTGCTCATAGAGATGGGTGCATGGATCAGGCCACAGGGCATTTAATTTATGTGAATCTATTTGTACATTTAAGACTGGAGATGAGTAAATGTTCTCATTTTCCAGAATGGAGAAGAAGATTTTGGAAGTTAACAGCAAGCTAGATGTCAACCCTTGGCAACAATTGGCAAACATTCTAAAAATAATCATTTTAAACAGATGATTTTTAAGTACGTACAAAAGAAAGAAACCATTGGGAGTGTTGTTGGCACATTGTCGTGATAGAGTCAAGGCATATGACAGACAGACCCCGGTAGAGACACATGGGCTGAACGGTGGCAGTATACTTAGGCGGAGTTATAGACTGTATACTCAGTGCTTCATGCCAGCCAGGAGGGATGGTCACTAGCAGCCTGCTGTGCAGGACCCTTCCTCTCCCATGTCTAATGCAGTGCAGAGTAGCACGTAGAAGGCATTCATGTCCAATATGTGAAAAACTCTAAATTAGCCAATGTGCTAGATGACAGAATCAGAGTTTGAAATGATCTTAATTGGCTAGGATGTTGGCGCAAAACTAATAATACAAAATTTAGCGTGGATAACATTTACTTAGTAAAAACTGATACTTAGTTGTATTAGTGAAGGATGAAGGTAGTCTGTCTTAACAGGGGCCCAAGCTTATTAGAACCAGTAATTGGATAGGACTGATTAAAAAGCTAATATACCTGTAGACTGAATTAACAAAAGCATAATATAATGGCCAGACAAAATGAGACGGTAGCCCCATCTGAAGTATCATGATCAAAGCCAAGTTCTACATTTTAAGAGGGACATTTTAGAGTACAGATAAGACCAGGCTAGTGAAGGGACTGCAGTATGATTGCTGATCAAAATAAATGCTGATATTATCTGAAGAAAAGACAACTAAAGAGAGACATGATAGAATATTTGAAGTGCCTTTTTGTGGAGCAGGGATTAGATTTATTCTATACAGCTCCCAAGGGTCAAATTAGGATAGATTGAAAGATTTTATGCTAATGTATGTGAGAATTGTCAGAAATCACAATGAAAACAAACATTATAGTCTCTTTCCCCTCTGAGACTCTTGGCTTGTTGACTAGCCACATGTGCCTGGTTCCATTTTATGCTATCACTGATGATGAACTGTGAAATTATTCACACTGTGATGACATGACAAGATTGTATATATGGTGTAATCTCAACTATGTAAAACAAATTAGTTATAGAAAAGAGGCTAGAAGGAAATACACCAAAAGTTTCAGTACTTGGGATATCTGGAGAATGGAATTATGCATGCTTTTTTTTTCTTCCTTTAACTTGTCAATATTTTAAAAAATACCTAGAATGAGCAGATATTACTTTTATAATTGGAAGAACACTTAGCAAATTTTATTTTTGTTTTCACATGGCACCCTAGAGAGTGGGGATTAGTGCCGAGTGGGTGAATAAAATGCCTGTCTGACACTGATTACTAACTTATTTCTTCTTCCACTGAGTTTTGCATAAACATTTTAAGCAATTAACCACAATATTTAGTCCGTAAAAGCAAGCACCTAATAGCAGAAAATGTCATATAAAGAATGCCATTTAAACGGTTATGCAGGAGCCTAAAAACATAGTCATCATAGTGGTTCTTCACTTAAAATCCTAAACAAGAACATTGATTGTGGATTCTGCTGCAAAGTGTGAAAAATTTTGTTACGTGTTTGAGAAAGAGCTGTCATCTCACTGACATTTTGAAGTGGACACCTGTTTGTTTCAGGTATGTACACACTGCAGTGGGAGTGATGAATCCAGATGTGTGCAGTCTGATTCTGGAGTCAGCCCTCACATGTTATAAGGTGTCAACGGCAGATTCCCTGCCTCCCATTGCCCAGGGAAGTAGAGGAATGGTGGTCATGTCCTTAGATGGCCACAGTGGCCTTCTTCTACCTGGCCCTTTTTGCATGGTCTGCCCTAAGCACTGCCTCCAGCATGATCCTCCTCACAGCGAGGCTGATGGACTAGCTTCTTAATTCTAAAATGATCATTGGCTCCCTGTTGCCCACAGAATAAAATCCATTCTCCTTTGTGTGGCATAAAAATCCTCTGACTTCTCTAGCCTTGACTCACAGCACTTCTCCCCAAATGTACCATTCTTAAACTATGCAAAGCCCCTTCCCTTTTCTCATCATGTACCAGCTGTCCTCACCAAACCTGGGTGCCCTTTCTCTGCCCCTTTCGGAAGCTACTATTCATCCTTCAGAACCCACCTCAAAAGTCATACTCCCAACTCGCCACCCCCGGAGCTTTCTCCAGCTTCCCTTGAAGGAATCACTCCCTTTTTGTCTCTCTGCAGCCTTCTTCCATGCCTCTGGGTTAACAAATTGCTGTGAAGCCTTCCCTGGCCACCCTAGCTAAACTTTTAATACCCTTCTTTCATGTTTAATTTTTCTCCTGAGCACTTATCACTATCCACTATTTTATATATATATATTTCACTGATTCATCTCATTTGTTGTATCTGTGAGCATAGGGATGCTGTCTGTCTGTTCACTGGTTTTTTTTCAGCTCTTAGGATGGAGCCTGGCACATCGAAGGTACCCAGCCAGTATGTGTAGAATGAATGAATCCTGTCTTATTTGCTGCTCTGTCTGTGGTCTTAACAATTGCCAAGTCCTTTTTGTCCTTCTTGCCTAGCTAGTGCAGTATCCAGTAGGCAGTAGGCACTCAGTGAAAGTATATTCATTGAGTGAACAGGCTTCTATGTTGTTAGAGCTGCCTAGAGAAGGCCTAGTCACTGTATGGACCCTACTACATTGTGGCACTTTAAGGATTTTACATTGCTTCTGGAATTGAGGAATTCCATAGCCACCTTTTGACCTTGAGGGTGTTAAGACATTTGGCTTTGGATTAATGTTATGACTATGTAGGGGCTACTGTAAGCATGTGATACCCTATTAATCTGGCAGACAACCATGAGAAAGACTGTTTTCAGATTCCCTTCCAGGAGAACTTTGGATTCAGACACTATAGTGGGTGAGAAGGATAATTTAACCTTTATTCATTCATGTCTTCACTCCAGAAACATTCACTGAGCACTGTGGTGAATATAACACCACATAAGGTGAATAATACTATCTCCCGAGGCCTGCACAGCCTTGTGGGATGTAGAGATGAGCAATTGTGGTGTAATATGACAGAGCCTGCAAGGGGCATCCATTGTGTTGTGAGATTATAAGGAAGAGGACTATTACCCCAGCATGCTGATTCCTAGAATGCATTATAGAGGAGGCGATATTGCAACCGAGTCTTGAAGAATGGTAACAATTTCCTGAACATGACGGAGGGAGGAGCATGTCAGGTAGAGGGTTTCCCTAGCCGTATGGTACTTTTCCATGTCGCATATGTAACGATAAGAAAAGCACAGTATGCTATGGAGATGGTTGAGTGATCTGTGGGAACTGGAACATCAAGGGTAAAGGGAGGAGTGGGGAACAGGAGGAGATGAGGCTGGAAGAAGAGCCAGCAGGCAGCCTCAAAAGTCTAATAAGTCACACTTAAGCAGCGTGCAAGTTACGTGGCAAATGATGTATCAAGTGTGTGTTCTAGGAAAAGGACTCTGACTGCAGTCATGTCTGATGGATTAGGGGAGGGAGAGGGAGGCAGGAAGACCAACTAGGATGTTATTTTAGTTTTCCAGGTAAGCAACAAGGGCCTAATGCATTCATAGTGGAGATAGAAAAGAGGGGACAGCCGTGAGAGATTCAGGAGCATTTGGGTGGCGTTTGGAACTAGGAGTTGAAGGAAGAAGCTGAGTCAAGAGATGACTCCTGTGAATTTTTACTTGAATGATGGGAGCTGCTCCCATTCATCAAAATCGACAGTATGGGAGTAGGTGTGTTGTAGATAAGCCCTAT